TTTTTAATCCTTTGTACAAGTAGCTTAAAAAACCCGTTTTTTTGTGGAAAAATAGTAAAAGCCTGGTCATTTCTGTAGCAAAACTATGCTATGCACGTTGGCGAAAAAACACTGCGTCTTAGCAATTTTTTCGGGCAATAATTGTTCTCGGTCTGGGAAAATCTCTGAAAGTGAAAAAATGGTATTTGCGGATGCAAGCGTCAATCGCACTCAGTGCGTGAAGAGCTTTTTGTTATATACTTGTCCTGAAATCGCTTAATTTCTGCATTTTCCTCAGACAGCAATCTCTAAACTTTATTCCCAGAAATTTTTCCATTCAGCAAAATGCATCGACCAGCGTAACTCAGCTTTGTACAAAAGTATTTGAAGTGGACGAACAACAGTTACGACTTTGGCTGACTGTTCGGGAGATTGTTGCGGGTGATGAATCTGTCCGGAAACCACTTACTGCTCTTGAAGTAATTTACTTTTGCGGACATATATTTCTTATATTTTCTTTTTAATTAATTTAACACGAAGCCTGTCTTTCCGAAGAGCGAATAGTGCCAGTTTTAACTGGGCTTTGTAAGAGAAAATGTTTTATCACAGGCTGTTACGCGGAGAGATGCGCTGGTAAAGATGCTCTATGCTGCCCTATTTGCATGGATTGTGAAGAAAGTGAATGAAGCACTGGGGGTACAAATGAAAAATAGTGGTTCGAAAAGTGCCTGCAGATTTATCGGTGTTCTGGATATCTATGGGCGAGTTTCCCCTCTTACCGTATTTGTGTTCTATTTTTTAATTTTATTCAACACGGAAAATAAAAAATACATTGTAAATAATGATCGTTATTTAGCTTCGAGACGTTCCAAATCAACAGTTTCGAACAGTTTTGCATCAATTATGCGAATGAAAAGCTCCAGCAGCAATTTTGCCAGGTTGGCCATAGCTCGAAAATCTTTTGTTGAATGGATAAAAAACTGAAAATTCTATTTTCACTGAATAAAACAAAATCCTTGCTGTTTTGGGTATAAATGCTCTGATCCAGTTTCCAATTTTGCAGCACGTATTCAAACTTGAGCAGTCCGAATATGAGCGTGAGGAAATTAACTGGATACGGATCGATTTCTATGACAATCAACCATGTATCGACTTGATCGAAGGAAGGCCAGGGATTATTGATTATCTCGATGAACAGTGCAAGGTACTGGTGCTCTTCAGACGTCAGATTTGTCTACTTCCGAAAAAAATGGGTTTTGAGTTACTGAAAAGTATCTGATTGGTGTGGTGTACTGGTGGGAAGCTGAAGTGCAGGCAAAGCTGGAAATAGAGGTTCCTGGCAACACCATTACTAATGCACTGATGTTTTATGCGTTGCAAACGCTCTCACATAGAGAAACTTTCTTGAAATTTTTTCCCCTTTCAATTTGTTTTTGTTAAATTTCAATTAACAGTAAGCAGCCTTTTCCCATTATCATCCTAATTTTTCAGAAATATGATCCCTACAAAAAATGTGCTCTAGTCAGCAAATATATAACTGTGCCACACCATTTAAGACTTCTTTTGAGTTTTTGTATCGACCGAATTGATTTAGATGGGTCAAGGAACGGATCTTGACTGGTTACGAAAATTGCACACATGTCCATCACTAAAGAAAATGCAACATTTCCAACTGCCGAAAATAAAAGTAAGACCCTTTTTTTTTAATGAAATGATATTTTGACAACAAGAAGAATCTTTCTTCTTTGCTGACAATTTCTGGATCTCATCCTCCGGAATGTTCCTTTTAAATTGTTCGCTTTACAGGATCCTTCATTCATCATCAAGCATTTTGCTGCTGATGTGGTATATAGCGTCAACGGGTTTCTGGAGAAAAACAAAGATACTGTTAGCGAGCAGCTGCTGGATGTTATGAAAAAAAGCAAGGTGAGTTTCTGGCAAACAATAGAGTGATTCGAAATTATCCTGAGTAGCCGGTTTAAAATTAGTGAAGTTGCAGTTTGATTTAACGCGAGAAGTGTTGGGTGTGAACACTGAAACGACGCAAACTTCAGTGTTTCAAAGAAATCGGCTGACGGGTTCTGGTGGGTCCAAAAAGCCCATTAAGAAATCTGTTTCATTTCAGGTAAGTCACCTGTTCCGAGTTTTGTTTTAAAATACTAAATGCTTAATTTGCTAAAGTCCTTAGATTCCAGTGCTGCAGGTGGAGTGTTCCATGTACTTGATACGTAGTTCCGTGAGCAGCGTTACTCTGCTTATTATTACCTCCGACTCTAAATTGCTTGAATCCTGTGTTTACCTTCTTTGGTTATTACCATCTTTTCGGACATTGCCTGTACTCACTTAAGGGCGTATGAAAGTTTCTGCAAGAAAATCAATAACTCGGGAACCAGAAAAGCTAGAAAACTGAGACTTTAGGGGAATGTTTCCTGTCCATCTACAACTTAAATGTTTCAAATTCAGCCTTCAGGTTTGTGTGGTTCTTACGTACGGGCACTTAAAAGTTTTGACGGAATAATTTCTCACTATTAAATTAAAATTCTACATTTACTTTATGCAAAATTTATGATGATTTATGCTAGTGACGGCAAAAGGTAGGTGTAAAGCAACAACCATTCATGCAGTTAATGACCTGAGTACTTCAAG